CCACAGTCTGCCATAATTTCATTTTTTTTTTTTTTTTTTTTTGACTTAGTAGGGTTAATAGGATCTGCTTGGATATAGAAAGAGCCTCCAGGACTCACCCCTCTCAGGAATCACAGTTCTATGCTGCCTGTTGTCCAATATCAGAAAACTAGAAAACTGGACAAAATTTAGAAAACTGTTATTTATGGAAGAAAGGTAAATCTGACCCCTAGTAGTCTATCATGGTCATAAGTGTAGATCAATTATCGTTTGTTATTTTTTTAAGTTTTCTCTTCCTGTAGAGTCTTTATCTCCACCAAGTTTCTCCTTTTTCTTTTTGTTTAGATCTCTATCTTTCTTGTTAGAGGTTTTCCTCAGAGAGCTAGTCATTTTTTGTTGTCTGCTCACTCTTAATAGAATGAGGAGACTGTTGGGTTGTTTGGAAACTCTACTTGTATTGGTGGGCCAATGAATTTAACATAAGGCAGAGATTACCAACAGTGACACTAATGACATTTTGGGCTGGGTAATTATTTGTCATGGGAGGCTTTCATTGTGCATCACAGCATGTTTATCCACAACCCTGGCCTCTATCCGCTATATACCAGTAGCACACCCCCACCCCCACCAGGTTTGTGGCAATCAAAAATGTCTCCAGACATTGCCATATGCCTCCAGTTGAGAACCACCGATGTAGGATTATCTATCTGAGATGTTTGTGAGGGGCTCTTGAAGTCAATATCTTTAGGCATTTCGTCTTGAGATGGTTATATTCTCCACAGAATAGTCCTCTAATTTCTCTTGCTTGAAGAATAAAGTGGAAAGGGAGATCAGAGAGCCTTAGTATTCAATATAGATACATTCACTTATTCTTCCTGTCTTAAGTACTTCATGCCCACCTTCAAATGTGCCTGGTGTTCCTTCATCCAGAAACCATCTGTTTTCCCTTCTCTGGAGCCTAAACCTCTAGACTTTGGCCATCACCTAGTGGTATAGAGCTGGGGGAAAGGAGCGATTCATCTGGCTCTCAAACAGCCTTCATTCAACCAGTCTACCTTAATTCAACATCCCCAATTCACTCTACTTATACAAGTACCATCAATTCCTGAGCCTTTTGAGGGTTCTGGGGAGCATACTGAATTCATTCATATGTT